GAAGTTGTAGAAACTGACTAAAAACAGTTTTTTGTCAAAATTGCAATATTTTTATTTTCGTGAAATATTTTCAATGACCATTAAGGAAAATTTTATAAGGCATTTGGAAATGGATTTACGATTTATTGAGCAACAAATGTATATTTAGTAGAGTATTTATGTCAAAAACTAAAAAAATAAATGAAGGGCCGAAAACATTGTTAAAATACGGTTCCACCCTCAAGAATATTAACAGAAAGTATAAATTTAATTTTCAAATTTCACGGTGAGATGGAGGTGAAAATAAATAGTTTGAACGACGATTTATATATGAATTTGTAAACAACCGTCAGTGTTAACCCACTTTTTTGTCAGAAAGGCAAATTTTTTATTTTCACAAAACATTTTCCATGAGCATTAAGGAAAATTTATAAGGCATTTGGAAGCGGATTTACGATTTATTGAGTAACAAATGTATATTTAGTAGATTATTTGTGTCGAAAACTAAAAAAATAAGTGAAAAATATGGTTGTGAGGCCCACAACATTGTTAAAATTGGGTTCCACCCTCAAGAATACAACAAAAAGAATTACTATAATTTTTAAACATCACGGTGAGGTGAATGTAAAAATAAATAGTTTGAATGACGATTTATGTACGAATTTGTAAAAACTGACCAAAAACAATGAATGTTAACTCACGTTTTTTGTCAAAAATGCAAATTTTTTATTTTCTCAAAAAAATTTCCGGGAGCGTTAAGGAAATTTTTATAAGGCATTTGAAAGTGTATTTACAATTTATTGAGCAACAAATGGATATTTAGTAGACTAGTTAAGTCGAAAACTAAAAAAATAAGTGAAAAATATAGTAGCAAGTCCTAAAACATTGTTAAAATGGGGTTCCACCCCTCAAGAATATAACAAGAAGTACTACAATAATTTTCAAACTTCAGGATTAGGCGAAGGTGAAAATAAATAGTTTGAACGACGATTTATGTACGAATTTATAAAAATCGACTAAAAACTATGAGTGTTAACCCACATTTTTTTTTGTAAAAAAATGCAAATATTTTATTTTTGTGAAATATTTTCCGTGAGCATTAAGGAAATTTTATAAGGTAGTTGGTAGCGGATTTACAATTTATTGAGCAACGAGCAACAAATGGATATTTAGTAGACTATTTAAGGCGAAAACAAAAAAAAAAAGTAAAAAATATAGTAGTGAAGCCTAAAACATTGTTAAAATTAGGTTACTCCCTCCAAAATATTAACGGAAAGTATTACTTTATTTTTCAAACTTCATAGTGGGGCGAAGGTGAAAATAAATAGTTTGAACGACGATTTATGTACGAATTTGTAAAAATCGACTAAAAACTATGAGTGTTAACCCACATTTTTTTTGTCAAAAATGCAAATTTTTTATTTTTGCAAAATATTTTCTGTGAGCATTAAGCAAAATTTATAAGGCATTTGGAAGCGGTTTTACGACTTATTGAGCAATAACTATATATTTAGTAGACTATTTAAATCGAAAGCAAAAAAAAAAGAGTGAAAAATATAGTAGTAAGGCCCAAAACATTGTTAAAATGGGGTTCCACCATCAAGAATATAACAAAACGTATTACTATAATTTTCAAATTTCACGGTAAGGCGAAGGTGAAAATAAATAGTTTTAAGGATAATTTATGTACGAATTTGTAGAAACTAACTAAAGACCATGAGTATTAAGGAAAATTTTAAGGAAAATTTTATAAGGCATTTGGAAGCGGATTTACGATTTATTGAGCAACAAATGTATATTTAATAGACTATTTACGTCGAAAACTAAAAAAATAAGTGAAAAATATAGTAGTGAGCCCAAAATATTGTTAAAATGGGGTTCCGCCCTCAACAATATTAACGGAAAATATTACTTTAATTTTCAAACTTCACAGTGAGGCGAAGGTGAAAATAAAGAGTTTGAATGATGATTTATGTACGAATTTGTAAAAACTGACAAAAAAGCGTGAGTGTTAACCCACTTTTTTGTCAAAAATGCAAATTTTTTATTTTCACGAAATATTTTCCATGAGCATTAAGAAAAATTATCATAAGGCATTTAGAAGCGGATTTACGATTTATTGTGCATATTTAGTAGACTATTTAAGTAGGAAACTAAAAAAATGAGTGAAAAGTGTTGTAGGGAGGCCCAAAACATTGTTAAAATGGGGTTCCACCCTCAAGAATATAACAAAAAAGTATTACTATAATTTTCAAACTTCACGGTGAGGCAAAGGTGAATAGTTTGAATGACGATTTATGTACGAATTTGTAAAAACCAACAAAAAACCGTGAGTGTTAACCTTTTTTTTTTATGCAAATATTATATTTTCATTAAACATTTTCCATGAGCATTAAGGAAAATTTATAAGGTAGCTAGAAGCGGACTTAAGATTTTTTTAGCAACAAATGTATATTTAGTAGACTATTTAAGTTGAAAGCCCAAAATATTGTTAAAATTGGATTGCACCCACAAGAATATAACGGAAAGTATTACTATAATTTTCAAACATCACAGTGAGGCGAAGTTGAAAAGAAATAGTTTGAACGATGATTTATGTACGATTTTGTAAAAACTGACTAAAAAGTGTGAGTTAACACCCATTTTTTTTGGTCAAAAATGAATTTTTTTTATTTTTGTGAAATATTTTCCACGAGTTTTAAGGAAAATTATATAAGGTGTTTGGAAGCGAGTTTATGATTTATTGAGCAACAAATGTATACTTAGTGGAATATTTAAGCCACAAACTGAAAGAAGTAAGTGAAAAATACTATAGTGAGGACCAAAACATTGTCAAACGGGGTTCCACCCTCAAGAATCTCAATGGAAAGTCTCACCTTTATTTTCAAAACTTCACATTCAGGCGAAGGTGAAAATAAATTGATTGAACGGTGATTTATGTACGAATTTGCAAAACTGACTAAAAGTCGTGAGTGTTAACCCTCGTTTTTTTGGTCAAACATGAAAATTTTTATTTTTGCGAAATATTTTCTGCGAGCATTAAGGAAAACTTTATAAGGTGTTTGGAAGCGGTTTTATGATTTATTGAGCAACAAATGTATGCTTAGTATAAAATTTAAGCCGAAAACTAAAAAAAATAAATGAAAAATAGAATTGTGAGGACCAAAACGTTGTCAAACGGGGGTTCCACCCTCAAGAATCTCTACGGAAAGTCTTACCTTAATTTTCAAAATTTCACGGTGAGGCGAAGGTGAAAACAAATAGATTGAACGAATGGTTTATGTACGAATTTGTAAAACTGATTAAGAATCATGAGTGTTAACCCAAGTTTTCTGTCAAAAATGCAAATTTTTTGTTTTCGCAAAATGTTTTCTGTGAGCATCAAGAAAAACTTTATAAGGCATTTAGAAGCGGTTTTATGATTTATTGAGCAATGAATGTATATTTAGTGGAATATTTAAGCTAAAAACTAAAAAAATAAGTGAAAAATATACTAGTGAGGCCCAAAACTTTGTTAACATGGGTTCTACCCTCAATAATATCAACAGAAACTCTTACCTTATTTTTCAAAATTTCACGGTGAGGCGAAGGTGAAAAGAAATAGATTGAACGATGATTTATGTAAGAATTTGCAAAACCAACTAAAAACCGTTAGTGTTAACCCACGTTTTTTGTGAAAAAATGCAAAATTTTAATTTTCGAGAAATGTTTTCCATGAACATTAAGGAAAATTTTATATGGCATTTGGAAACAGTTTTATGATTTATTGAGCAATGAATTTATTTTTAGTATAATATTTGAGCCGAGAACTAAAAAATAAGTGAAAAATATATTAGTGAGGGCCAAAACATTGTTAAAATGGGTTCCACCCTCAAGAATCTCGACGGAAAGTCTTATAGAAATTTTCAAAACTTCATGGTGTGGCGAAGCTGAAAATAAATTGATTGAACGACAATTTTTCTAATAGAATGTTTAAGCCAAACACAAAATAAATGTACTAAAATTGTAGTGGGATCCAAAACATTGCCAATACGAGACTCTATGTACAAAATATAAACAAAAAGTCTAACATGAATTTCCAAACCTCATGGTGCGGTGAAGGTGAAAGCACATAGAGTTTTGTACAAATTTGCAGAATTGGAAACCGTGATGGTTAGCCCACTTTTCTTTTTGAGAAAATTGAAATTTTTTTTTATTTTTGCCAAATGTTTTCCGTCATGATTAAGGTATCTTTATAAGTCAATTGAAAGCGGTCTTTGCATTTATTGAGCCACAAATATATTATAATAGAATATTTAGATTAACAACTTAAAAATAAATTGGCAAAAATTGTAGTGTGGCCCAAAACATTGCCAAAACAGGACTCCGTATATATGAATATTAACAAAAAGTCTTACATGAAGTTTCAAATCCTCGCAGTGCGGTGAAGATGAACGGAAATAGATTTTACAATGATTTTTGTGAAATATTTTGTGCCATGATTAATAGTAACTTTGTAAGGTAATTGACAGTGGTTTATTATTTATTGAGTCACAAATGTATTTTTAAAAGAATATTACGTTGAAACCTTAAAAATAAATAGACAAAAATTATAGCAGGGACCAAAAAGTCTTGCAAGAACTTTCAAAATCTCACGGCGCAGTGAAAGTGAAAACAAATAGATTTTACGATGATTTTTTTTGTACAAATCGGCAAAATCCTCTAGACACAATGATGGTTAGCCTAAATTTTTTATTGAGAAAAATGCGAATTCATTTTCTCTGCGAAATATTTTTTGCCATAATAATAACTTTATTAGGCAATAATTAAAAATACTTGGAGATCGCTAATGTGATTAGAATGTTTTCAATATTAGTGTAATCTCAAACAGCCTTGTCTCATTCAACAAAGCTATTTTGCGTCATGAAACCCTCCTAGGTATTTCTGTCCAGCCATGACAGCCATTTGCCTAGTTCCTTGGAGCTATGTTTTGCTGATAAAACCGTCTTAAAAGTACTTTTGCCTAGACATTTGCTTAGTCTCTTAAGATATGTTTTGCTGATGTGGCGGAGCAAATCCAGATTTGCCAGGTGGATTGCCTAGTTCCATGCTCTCTGCTTGCAATATAATAGCATGATTATAATACAAGATGACAAATAAAATAGTGATGAGATAAGATCAACACTTGGAAGATGAAGAGGAAGATGGAACCATAATAACTTCATCATCATCATGTTTTTCAGCTGAGTCCGAGTCCGAGTCTTCCACTCTGAACTGAGCTCGCTTGCTTGCTCTCTGTTTTCAGTGATTAAATGGGGCTGTGCAGATTTGGAAGATTGGTTGAAGGGGTCGGAGTTAGCAGGAGGAGGCCATTTGCAACCTCCTCCTCCTCCTCTGCCGCCGGCGGTGATGAAATGATTGTTCGTGGCACTGGCAGCAAGTCGTTGAACCTCTACTCTGCCATCAACCAAGCGCTCCACATCGCCTTGGAAACTGATCCACGGTCTGCACTTTCTTTCTTCAATTTATTTTTTGTTTTTCACTTTCATTTCTGCTTGCTTGATTCATAATTTTTTTCATTCAACTATTCTCGTTAATTCAATCGTATATGATGTGATCTTATCTCTCAGGTCAGATGGCAATTTGGACTTTAAACAAATTTAACAATTTCGATTGACTTTGCTGAAAAATATCAAATCCGATAAAAGTTACCAGTTGAATTTTACTCATGTTCATGCCGGTGGAGTGTTACTTTGGATTGATCAGTTACCTCATTTTGCTTATGCGCCGCCTAAACCTAGCCTAAGCCTATGGATTAACCACTTAACTGATTATTTTCATCTCACTCTCAGTTCTTATGTATTTGGAGAAGATGTGAGCTTTGGTGGGGTCTTCCGTTGCACAACAGGCTTAGCTGATCGCTTCGGTAAACAAAGGGTTTTTAACACCCCTCTTTGTGAACAGGTACCCACCCAGCTTTATGTCTTCCTCCCTTCCACTTTGTTAAAAATGTCTTCTGTCAACTTGATAACCTGCCTTCTTGTCTTGACACCCAGGGCATTGTAGGATTCGGCATTGGTCTAGCAGCTATGGTATGTTTGAGGGTTTATCTTACACCTGACCTCACCTTTACAATCATGTGTACCTCCATTCAAATTTCACTTTCAGTTTTTGATCTTATCCTATAGCCACAACCCTCACTACCTTTGGCTTCATCTGACATGATAGGGTAATCGAGCTGTAGCAGAAATCCAATTCGCAGATTATATTTTTCCAGCTTTTGATCAGGCATGCATCCCGATTCTCTTCAGTGCTGAGTTCTGTCATAGACTCATAACCTCACAAACGAAAAATGATAATTAATTGGGTGAATCTCACTATGTAGATTGTCAATGAAGCTGCAAAGTTCCGATATAGAAGTGGAAATCAATTTAATTGTGGAGGTAAAACTTCACTATTTTTGTCATGTGGGAACCATACTATTTTCTTCCCACAAGTTGTTTGTGGATTATAAGGTTTTTTGTTTCTCACTAGGTTTAACAATTAGAACCCCCTATGGAGCTGTTGGCCACGGTGGACATTATCACTCACAGTCTCCTGAAGCTTTCTTCTGTCATGTCCCTGGTCTCAAAGTAGGTCTTCTTCCATTCAATCATATTTTGTGATCTTTACCCCCACAAAGCCTCACTACATTTCCCCCGTCTCTCGTCATCTTTCTTTGAGCGAGAGTTATAAGGTCATTGCACTGTTATTTGATATCTAAAGAGTACTAAATTCATATAGGTGGTCATCCCTCGAAGCCCACTGCAAGCAAAAGGCTTATTGCTGTCGTGCATACGCGATCCAAATCCTGTTGTGTTCTTCGAACCAAAGGTAGTTTAAGTTTGGTTATAAAATAAATTAATTTGTCCATAGAAAAAAAAATTTATTTGACAAAAAAATTTGACCTGAAATTTTACAAAAAGAACCGGGGTTTCAGTGGTTATACAGATTATCAGTCGAAGAGGTTCCTGAGCATGATTACATGTTGCCTTTATCGGAGGCAGAGGTACACTAAACCCCCTAGTTCCATTCTAGTCCAATTTTCTAATGTTTGAAAAAAAATGACACCTGCGGTCATGGTTTTGATATAATCAAAAGGAACTTGTTACTTGAAAATTGGAACTGCGATACTCAGGTAATTCGAGAGGGCACCGATATAACACTTGTTGGTTGGGGAGCTCAATTATCTGTAATGGAACAGGCCTGTAAAGAAGCTGAGAGTGTAAGTTTTTTCGACTGCTAGAAAATATTATTCCCTTTCTGCTGCGTATAATCAGTGTGTTTGATTTGGTGTCATGTATTATGTGGCGAAGGTTCATGTAATTGTAAAGGTTACAATTATCGAATTTTCAGGATGGAATTTCTTGTGAACTGATAGACCTGCGAACCCTTTTACCTTGGGACAAGTACACAGTGGAGGCCTCCGTCAGAAAGACGGGAAGGCTTCTTGTAAGTATTTTATCTGTTTACATAGGCCACTTGATGAAAATGGGTTGGTGCACTCTTGGTGACAAACCGAAGCTCGTTTTGTAGATAAGTCATGAAGCGCCAGTTACTGGAGGATTTGGTGCTGAAATATCCGCTTCAATTGTTGAACGCTGCTTCCTAAGGGTAACTCTCGCGCCTTTGTTTTTTCTATTTTGATGTTTCGGTGATTAACTTTTGTTAGGTTGTGGAGACAGCTGATAACTTGATCTGTGAGCTCTTGTATAGTTAGAAGCGCCTGTTGCAAGAGTATGCGGTTTGGATACCCCCTTCCCTCTCGTCTTCGAGCCCTTCTACATGCCCACCAAAAACAAGGTTAGTTATCTGACATGTTTTCACCGTGGCATTTTCTTTTGATACTGGCGCTGTGCTTATGTAAATTTTTCTCTCTTTTTCTTCATCGGATGCAGATATTGGATGCAATCAAATCAACTGTAAATTTCTAGTGTAAAAGCAAAAGCAAGTCTGCTTCCTTCTTTCTCCACCTAACTTTGTTTTCCTAGTCTAGGTGTAATCAGTCCATTTATCATCTGATCTTGCACACGACGGAGTGAGGAAATAAACTTTTCGGTCCTTCCTCGATCTATTCCAGTATGTAAAAGAACCCAGCAATCTATGGTTCCGAATTGGATAGTGAACCACGAACCTCCTAAGTTCATCAATAGCTTGCAATCCCTACCAGAGAGAGAGTGAGAGATTTGTGTTAAAAACTATTTGTTCGCTTTGCATTTTGTTCAAGGTCACATCACATTATTAGACTAAACAAAAGACAGAACAAGAGTCTAAATTTCTCTTCATCGTTTACTCCCACAATGCACCACAATGCAGTCTTCTTATCTACAATTCAACCCAGGCAATTCGCCCAAATGCCGCACTATTCCGCCCCACGAACATGACTCTTGTGCTTACCCAGAAACAATCTGCCGTCAATTTGGAGATGAAACGACATTAGTTATGAAGCATAATTCGTATTTGATTGGAATTTTAACACAATTAAATAATTAAAGTTCATACCAATGCTGATTTTTCCTGAATCCTGTAAGAACTGGGTAAATGTTCTCAAAGGCTTCATACGTCTCGGTTCTTGCCTGAATCATTGAAATGACAATGCTCTCCAGATAATGTACAAAGATAATAAAACATATAACTGAAAAATCAAACATCAAAAGAAGCATTGTGAAATAATCACCTTCGCTCCAGTTAGGACAATTTTTCCAGACACAAAGATGAGAAGCACAATCTTCGGTTGTTTCATTCGATATATCAAGCCTAGAAAAATTTCTGGTTCATACTGGCCACCACAGTAAAAATATTTCAGTTGATTTACAAACAACTTTTCCAGAAGAAACTTCCTACTGGACTAGACTAATCTAGCAGCTTCCTCATGCTCAAACAACAATAGATAGAAGAATGACGAATAGTTCAAATAGTAAAAACCATGTTTGTCAAACTTAAGATGCATGTCATTAGTTACAAAATGCAAGAGGTGCATAGACACAAGTAAACTATGAACATTATGATTCAGTAATTTGGTTCTTATCCGGTTTCCAGCACAAACCCCTCCCTGAAACTTTGGACCCTCAGCCATCAAGGAAGAAATATATATATATATATATATATAGAGAGAGAGAGAGAGAGAGAGAGAGAGAGAGAGAGAGAGAGAGAGAGAGAGATAGAGTAATTGGAACTTGGCTGGAAAACCGAGTTTCTGGATGACTCGAGCATACTGAAGAGCAAAGAGGGTCATGTAAGATTGTGTAAATACAATGTCTTCGTGATATCGATACTAACATAATCATGACATCATCATATTACTCCATACTTAAAATCTATTGAAGGGCTATCCGCATGTGTTAGAGCTGCATAGTTTAAACGAAAACTCCAGAATGGCTTTCTTTGGGATAAAACTTCAAACAGAAGCCAGAAAATGGACAATGAGACATCCAAAACTGCCCCCATATATAAATGTACAGGATAACTGTGGAAAGGAATAAGAATACCTTTCGTGCTGCCAATCTCGATTGTTCTTCACTCTTAGCTCCCATACAAACCTATACCACAACAATAACGAGCCAGCATTAACATGATTATGAAGGACTAATTAGCATGATTTGAAAAAGGAAGAGAGATGTGTAAAATCGCAAAAAGGGATAAAATTTATCAACTACCAATGCTGCCACAGCTAAGGATATAAGAAACAGACGAGAGGTTTTAATTATATTGGAAATCATTACACAATTTTTACCTATTACAAGAGGCTAGAGAGGGAGAAGGAGAGGAGACCATAAAACAAACCCTCGTCTATTAATCATTTGAATGATTACAAATCAAAGCATAAGATGCAGAAATTTGTGGAAGTCAATGAAAAACAGAAAAGGTAGGGAAGAAGATCCTTGGTTGGAAATTGATACTTACCATTTTACCAGATGCTTTAATGTACTCGTTAAACAAAGGCTTGGATCCACAGTATAAAAAACATTATAGCTCTTAAACAAAAGAAAGGTAGAAAAATAGAGGAGAAAGGGAGCGGGAGAAGCTATGCTCAAAACATCACATGCCATTGGGTTGTATTCAGAATTACGAGCTTTCAATGCAATGGCTATCCAATTTGCAATCCAGATCGACTGTGGAGACAATATTCCTGAGAGCACAGATAACACCTAGTTAAGTGCATGAAGTAAATCAAGAAGAGCGCTCAAAGTTTCAGGAAATATATAACTATAGATATTTTTTGCCATGTCTAGTCCAGATTAATAAATATTTGCATCAGGAATTCAGCATCAACAAATCTATCATTAACAATTGCCATACAGCAAGCCCAATCATGTAACTTGAATTCAATGGTTTCACGGATGAACATCCACATAAAACATGCTAACATGAAACAAAATTACAAAAGTGTGGAGACAGAGAAAGAATTAAATATAAAAACGATGCACAACAGCTGAAACAATTTTATCGCAATCGGTCATTTAATCAGGCACAGCCAACATAATACAACATATCACTGGATGAGGATGCAGCACAAACTGGTGGATTGACTATATTACAAGTTACAATAACTGATTGCAAGTGAAAGCAATTTGGTTGTGTGAATTGAATTATGAGAGTATGATGAGGTAGAAAGAAAGAACTCACTGGAGAGTAGGGACAATTCCAGAAGGGTGCTTGCTCAGGTCTACTACTGGATGGCTTTCTTCTTCTGACACTCCCTTTGTTTTATTGACTTGGTATTGATTGAAACCTTGCGCCTCCATTCTATATATTATGCAGCATCGATCACACAATTATACAGATTAATAAAAGGGAACTTTAACGAAAAACTTCCGGTATTGTTCACTTGAACGAAAAATCATATTTTTATATTAAAAAGTCAATCATAGTACTATTCACTTTATCTTTTATTTTGTCCTTATTGTTAAAACTCAAATTTTTCAAACTCTTTTCATTAGTTACTTTAATAAAAACCAAGCAAGATAGTTTGATACATCCATCCATCCATCCTTCCATCCATCACACATACATACTCTGATGATACTCGTATGGATCCCATATGAGATATCAATTTAAACAAACCAACCACAGGGTAAAAAATAAAAAATAATTTTCTCATGCCAATAATACCCAAAAACCAATCTTCTTATTAACAAAAAAAGGTTTAATCTTTCTCCCTTTCCGTTTCAAGATAAAGGGAGATCAAACAAAAATACCCACGCACAAAAAAAAATATTTATAAAAAAAAAAAAACAAGTAAAAGAGAGGTCCTTGTGTTCTTTGAGAAAATCAGATGAGTTGTTTTTGGGATTTCGGGTATGATTCTTAATTATCTTTTATTTTATTTTTGGGCCAAAGATTCTTCATAATTATCGTTTAGCAACATGAAAGGGGCGGATCATCTTCAAATCATTTAAGTGATGTGAAGAAGAAATCACATCAGCGAGGATGGTTTTGTTTTAAGTGTAAAGTTGGAAAAAGAAATCGGACCTTCTGGGTGCAGAGATCCAACCGCGAGATCGATCGATCAAGAAATGGAAGAGTTGGGTTAAGACTCAGGAGGAGGAGGAGGAGCGGGAAGATTTTGAAGAGGGGTCCATTTTATACGAGAGATTTGTATTCTGAAACTATAAAGGAAGAGAGAAGGGGGAGGGATTTGGATCCTCTCCTGAGCCAATGGAGAGGATCTTCATGACCAATTATCGTGGGCCGTTGGATTTTTATCCAATGATTACAAACAGAATGTCCATTTAAAGTTTTAATGATTGTAACCGTTGGATAAAAATTCAACTACCTATGATGATTGGTCCAGGAGGATCCCCTCGATTAGCCTAGGAGAGGATCCAAATCCAAGGGGGAGAAGGAGAGTAGAGGAGAGCGTCTTGTGCTTGTGTGGAAATCTACCACGTTTCAGGATTCCTTTTCTGTTTTTGTTTCCTTTGGCTGACTGACCAGTCCATGTCACCGACCCATAGTGCAAATTCACTGTCATACTACAATTCGGATTCGCATCTGGATCCGGATCCAATTGTTATCTTTTGGTGCGATAAATCCACTAAGAGGTAACTAAGGGATTACGCAGGCCCAACCCACAACTTCTTTAGCTCAAATAAATAGGAACATTCCCGATGCCCTTGAACCACTGGGCCCAATCTTGCAACTTGAGCTTACATCGAGTTAGGTTTACCTTTTGATCCATTGAAGCTTCTCGCTTGGTTAAAAAAGAAAAAAAACAAAAAAACAAAAAAACGAGTCTCCGTTTGGCTTATGGGAAAAAAGTTAAAAAGTTTGAAAAGTGGTACGTTTAACTCATAAAACTCATGAGCTGCTCGTTTTTTCTCGCATGATACAACAAATCATAAGAGTAAAAACTCAAATTTGAGGTTTGACTATTTGAGTATGTGCATTGGACATGAGTATATTCATTGGAGATGAATAAAAATTTCCTTGTGGAGCTCCACATTAGGTCATCTCTAACCCATCCGGCTAAATAATCATAGGGCTAAAAATAACTCAGAATGACACGAAAACCGTTAAAACCAAGAGTTAGGCTAAAGGACTTGTGGGCCCCACCGGGCCCAAGTCCCCAAATCAGGCCAGCGGGCTGGCCATTTCCAACTAGTCTTCTAGCCCAGCCCTTTAGTTCCAGAATGTCAAGCTTGACATTTTGCCAGCCCTCTAGCTCAACCCATTTGAATGCTAACGGTTACCTGCCATCAACATGATGACATCTAGCAATGACTAGCTAACATCATGCTGCTGTCAGGTTACCGTTAGAATTAAAAAAATATATATTTGGATGAATTTTTAAAAAAAAAATTCATTTTTTTTTTCCTATAAATACCTACAGCATTGAAAGCTAAAGATAAGAAATGTCACGTAGATAAGAATCCTATTTAAAATTTGCACAACCAATTATATCTCGACACGTGACACTCAAAATTTTATCCCAAAAATTATTAAGATTACATAAAGATTAGAAATGTGGAGAGTTACTCACTTTAACGATACATGTCACTCAAAATCCTATCCGAAAATTTATTGAAATTACATAAAGATAAGAAATCTGAAGAGTTTCTCACGTTAGCGACACGTGTTACTCGAAATCATATCTAAAAAATTAGGAAATTGTTATTAGCACTCTTAAAATCTCATTTGGCACTCCAAATTAGAAAGAAAAATACATTTGTGAGGAATGTAGAATGAAATTTTGGAATGCTAATAACAGTTCAAAAAAATTATTGAGATTATATAAACATAAGAACACCAGAAGCTTATTCATTTGACGACAAGTGACACTCAAAATATGTCCAAAAATCTTATTTTAATATGGTAATTTAATTTAATTAACCATATTTATTTAATTAAAATAATAAATTATGTTTTACATATGACCCTTTGATTCCGTCAATTGAAGATGATTTTTTGTCAAAATGCTATGTTTGGCTTATAGCACTTTGACCCCCTCGATTGAAGATATAAAATATAGTCTAACAGTGTTAATTAAAATATAATTTCTTGAAGAGCCTATAGAACTAAAGAGAGTCATTTGACCTTCCTTGAAGATAGCCTTAGATGAAAATCTCATATTAAAAACAAATTTGAATCTCATTTTAATTAAAAAGCCAACTATAAATTTTAAACCTCCGTTGAAGATGTTCTTCGGCAACCATTCATAAATTTGGAGTGTTAATATTTGACTTTCTATAGGAGGATAAAAGATTGGATTCAGATTTGAGTTTTAACAATTGTAGGTATGACTCAAAATTCAAATCTTATCTTTTCTTGGTTGAACATTTTTACTTGTTAGCATAAACTACACATTTAAGTCGAATCTCATATTCAAACCCAAAGTTGTGCCTCACTTGCCTCAAACCCAAATATGAGAATCAGTTCTCAAGTCTAGTGCACCGTGAAAATGTTTTGCCTTCTATTTTCAGTTTTTTTATAGTGCTATTCACATATCCACTTTTTATATCTCAGACCTTGTTAATTTTTTGTCCTAAAATAATTATATACATGGCACTACTATTTTAGTTCCTTGCACATTTAATCCTTAATCAATGTGGCCACAAAGACTGGACTATCTTCTCCAACTATGGCAGTACCGTTCTCAAAATCAATCTCATCGTCTTGAAGCATAATATTCACAAGTAGAAATAATCGAGAAAGGCATCAACTCCGGCATATTTAGAATTGTTTGTTTCAACTGATTCAACATGAAATCCATGGCAGAGAGAGAGACAGAGAGAGAGAGAAAGAAAAGAAAGGCCTCAGAGATCTTGGTGGATAAGATTCATCAGACGGGAAGGATCCCTTCCCATCAAGAGTAGCAAATATATCTGCATCACCGGCCTCCCCCTACGAAATTCTTCCTAATAATTCTGTAATAAAATCTAACAAAAAAAAAAGAAAAAGAGGAAATGGAGGGGAATGAATGAATGATGTAGTCAGAAGTAGCTGGTTTAATATCATACAAACACGAATGCATGTTATCATTGGGAATCCGTCCGGATTTTTTCATCATTCCACATCCATCAATCAAGACTCCCTCCTAATCCTATCCAGCTCCAACACACAAACAATTCATTTGCAGAAATACAAAAAAAAATTAAAAATTTTGATATTAAAGAAAAATAAAAGCCAGAGAGAAATAATAAATAAATGTATCAACCTTGTCACCAAAATATCCTATGAAGAAGCAAGGAAAATCGGAGCTAAAGGTTGAATACACACATGAATCATGAATGTAACGGGTTCACTGTAGCCTAAGGATAGATTCCTTGATCCACTCACACTGAATCAAACAATTGCAATTTTAGGCCGAATAATTACAAAGAATACACGAAATCGGACAGACAAACAGACAGATTCATAAAAACATAGACAAACAGACAGAGTCATACAAACATACATGCGGAAGATATTGACGAACGAGAACGCAGTAGAAAGAATTGAGGAGGAGGAGGAAGACGCCTCCAGCCTCCAGCCTACGGTCCGGTCTGCGAATTGAGAGAGAATAAATTATTGGGAGCTTTCGTGCTCCTTTTATAGGGTTTGTTACCGCTAAAACCCTAGACGACGCCAACACGAGAGGCGAGGCGGTGCTCAATCCTTTCCCACTTCAATCTACTTTCACCCGAAAGCCCAATGGACAACTCATCCCATCCCAGCCCACCCCATATTGGATTGGCCTGCGATGTTGTTGCCTGTATACTATTTATTTATTTACTATTATTAAGGGAAGAATTCAAAAATACCATAATTAATAATATAAGAGGGAAGGATATTGGACCACGTGACAGTTCTCTGTCTGGTAAGATTTTCTCACTCACGTCATTTTTCATGAGTGGTTTTTTATGCTTAGGAGAGCAAAAGCTCTGCAGCTATATTGTCCGAGCTCATTTCAATCGGAGGTCATCTCGGCTTGTAAAATAACACAAGCCGAGCTTAAGTTTATGTTTGACTTGTAAAGCTTGAGTTTTTTAGTTTATATTTGACTCGTAATGTTCGTTTATAAGTAGTTTGCTTGGAATGGAATAAATTTTGATCAAGTCCTCACCCTATTTCAAAGTCCCATGGAACCTTAATCTCAATTTGTAATACGCATTCTTAATCAATTTAGTCCAAGTACCATACAACTTCAAACTCTCTCATCTTAACGCAACCGAGACCCAAACCCAAGCCTAGCATTATTTTCGTTGTAGCTTAACTTGTAAAAGAAACAAGTCAAGCAAATAATTGCAACTTTTTATCCTATATTAATGTAGTTACATAGGAGATAGAAGTCACCAATCTGCAAGAATACTAAGTCAAATGCGTATTTCACCATACTTGAAAGCGCACAACAGCAGTTCACTTTAGCAACAAAACAAGGAAACAAAGAAGAAAATAGATGACATTACATGACGAAACATTTTAACTAGCCCACTTATGACATCATCCTAAAATAATATTACACCATTTATCATATACATACTATTAATAACTCTTACATTTTCAGTACAGCTACTATAACACTGGTTTGCCCATCTCTCTATGGCTTCCATTTCTCATTCAAGAATCCCCCTTCAATGTTTTCCAACACCGACAAATTAAAGCCATTACTCCTAAACTGACACTCTTCTTCACCCTACCAACAACTGTCAAAATTTCCACTCACAATACGACAAAACGTGCAAACAAGACAAGTTCATTCATCGAGTGACCACTTTCTGTTTATACCCCAAGGCCGGAGTTAGACCACCAGCTTCTTCAATTTGTTTCACTAATGTTCTCAGACAACCTTTGATAATACGGGGTGCTGATCCATCACAGAACCATTTAGCAAGATCGACGGCCTTCACAAATGCCATATTCAATCAAGCCAAGCAACTATGGCAAACCAAATACACTTATAAGTTATGAAAGTAACCAACATCATACCTCGTTAATGACAATTGGGTGTCTTGTTTCCAGCACTGTTATTTCTGACATTGCCAGGTGGAGGATGCAAAGCTCCAACATTCTCCCTGCTGGCTCATCCTGAAGATTACGGATGAGTATGGTGTTAAATATTTGTGCGTAGTAGACAAATGGAAAGTGAAGTATCAATAACACTGTAGTATTATCCTTTCTCACCCAAGAAAAAAACAATGAACTGGATTTGATACCTCGTTTAAGAGATGACCAATTTATGAAACAGCAATCATTGGTGTAATGCTACCCAAGTACTAAACATGTGCCATGAAAACATACATAGACTGAATTAAGAAAAACGCCCAGAACGCCCTAAGGCACGCCTCAGCGCCTAGGCGCGCCTCAGGGCATATTTTTAAAAACATTGACATGGACTGAATTAAGAAACCCCCGATCTCCAAAAAAGCATGTGTTATATTCCCACCTTATCTGGAATTATGTATAAGTTCATTTAAACCTACGTGGAAACAAGATGCGACTCCAGGTAACTAAAGTCTTTAACGGAGATCTGCCTGCTATCACCCTCCATATCTTTGCCTGACCTCGGAAAGCAGAATAGACAATAAGCAAATCCTAATTAAGAAAAACGGGCTTACAAATGGATAGTAGATTTATCAGCCCAAGAGCAGACAATACAATTCACGTGATTGAGCAAAATAGATTTATCAACTCTCAAACCTTCGTACAAGCACACACAAAATATGGGTTTACAAAGTGCATCAGACACACCCCACAACCCGGTAGCACCATGACCATCACCCATCATGTGAAACACAAATGGATAGTACTACTTTAACTTGGATGGACAATCATAATGCATCAACCTCCTTGTTTGTCTTCATTTCAGAGAACAGAAATCCCGCTTCATTTTAGCTGCATAAAGATACTAATTGTCCTCTTCAAAGAGGGGGGAAACCAACTATTCACCAATGCCGATATTGCGTTTATGCATGCAAAGACTGTGAAAACAGTATTTAGCCAGAATAATCTTTCATTGATAGAAGGCTCAATATATACAATACCTTTCCTTGTACAACAAGAAGACCTAGAAACTAGGAATACGATAACAGAAAGTATCAATTACAAATCAATTAAATAAAACATTCCTATCTAGATACAATGACTTTCTAACACTCCCCCTCAAGTTGGAGAGTGGATGTCAAGAACTCCCAACTTGCACAACATGGATGAAAATTTTTCTTTGCCTAAGGCCTTTGTAAATATGTCTGCCAATTGTTGAGAAGAACTGACATATCGAGTAGCTATAGAGCCGTCCAAAATCTTGTCCCGAACGAAATGGCAATCCATCTCTATGTGGCGTGTTCTCTCATGAAAGACAGGATTAGCAGCAATATGCAATGCTGCCTGGTTATCACAAGACATAATGGCAGGTCCTGAAATGGGTACATGCAAATCTGTTAACAAATACCGTAACCAAATGAGCTCGCAACATGTTCCAGCCATAGCCCTATATTCGGCTTCAGCACTAGAAAGTGAGACCGTTTTCTGCCTCTTAGTCCTCCACGAAATCAACGAATTCCCCAAGAATATACAATACCCAGTCGTAGAAAGTCGAGTTATCGGACAACCAGCCCAATCCGAATCACAAAAGGCTCTCAAAGTTAACTTATTATCTGACTGAAAATATAAGCCCTGACCTGGTGCAGACTTCAAATACCGCACAATTCGAAGTGCTGCATCCATATGTGGTTGACGTGGTTGATGCATAAAACGATTAAGTACATGCACGGAGTATGTGATGTCTGGTCTAGTAACGGTAAGATAAATCAACCGTCCAACTAATCTTCGATACAAAGATGGGTCTTTGAGTAATTCACCTTTATCTGAAAGTTTGTTTTCCTCCATTGGAAATCCTACTGGTTTTGCACCCAAAAGGCCGCAATCCTTGATTATTTCAAGGACATACTTTCTTTGTGAAATACATAGTCCTCTTTTTGAACGAGAAACTTCAATACCCAGAAAATATTTCAGATTGCCAAGGTCCTTAATACGAAAGCGAGTATGAAGAAACCGTTTAAGAGCATTAATGGTATCTAAATTGTTGCCCGTAATAATAATATCATCAACGTAAATCAACAAAGCTGTGAAGGATGTACTGTTCTTTTGGGTGAAGAGAGAATAATCTGCTTTGGACTGAGTAAAACCGGCGGCAAGGATAGCTTCTGTGAATTTTGCAAACCACTGTCGAGAGGCTTGCTTGAGACCATATAAGGACTTGTTGAGGCGGCATACAAGGTTCTCCCCCTGATGCCGAAGACCAGGAGGAGGGGACATGTAAATTTCTTCCTGAAGGTCGCCATGAAGAAAGGCATTATGGACATCAAATTGTTGAATAGACCACCCTTGACCAGCGGCAAGAGCAAGGAGACAGCGGACTGTGATCATTTTGGCGGTGGGGGAGAAAGTGTCATGATAATCAATCCCCTCGGCTTGAGTGAATCCTTTGGCCACTAAACGAGCTTTGTAACGCTCGATAGAACCATCAGCATTATGCTTGATTTTGTAGACCCACCGACAATCAATGGGACGCTTGCCGGGAGGAAGCGAAGTAAGAGTCCACGTATTGTTGGAAGAAAGTGCCTCAAGTTCGGAATCCATGGCTGCGCGCCAATGAGGGTCTTGAAGAGCCTCGGCAAAAGAAGAAGGTTCTACACTTCGACTAATGTGAGCAACAAAAGAAAGATGCAATGGTGAATATCTGTGATAGGAAATAGAATTACAAATGGGATAACGAGTACCTTTGGTGGAACCGGATGACGAAGGCGACGAAGATTGGAGTGGGGGCAGCATCACCTGCGAGCAAACGTAGTCACGGAGACGAACATTGGGTTCCTTGTGGCGTGTGGAAAAACGGGTGGGTTGAGGAGAAATAGGAAGGTCAGGGGTGGGATTCGTGGGGGGGTCCGTGGGGGGTGAAAGGTGGGAAGGGATGAGTCAGGCGATGGGGATGGGTCAAGCGGTGGGTCAAGCGATGTGGAAGTGTGGGGGACAATATCTAGTGGAGTAGTGGTGGAATGGTCAAGGGTGATGGGATCAAGTGGGATGGGTAAAGGTGTGGAATGAGGTAAATCGGATAAGGGAGGGGAGGGTGCAGCGGTGGTGGATGGATCAAAAGGAAACGTGTCTTCAAGAAAAATAACATCCCGATTGGTGAAAACTTTATGTGTCTCAAGATCATAAAGCTTATAAGCCTTTTGACCTGGGGGGTAACCAAGAAAGACACATCGATGAGCCCTCGGAGAGAACTTGGAGGAAGGATGGACAGACGTGGCATAGGCAAGACAACCGAGAACACCTTCTAAATACAACAAGAAGACCTAGAAACTAGGAATACGATAACAGAAAGTATCAATTACAAATCAATTAAATAAAACATTCCTATCTAAATACAATGACTTTCTAACAAAGACAATACAGAATGTTTATATAGAGTAGAAGCCAGCTATGCTGGTATCACCTTTAAGGCTTTAAGTCCACAACTATTATGCTTTCTGAACACACTCTGAGCCAATTAAGAACAAGTGTACACTTTAATTATGGAAGCGACCCCCATGCAAGCGGGCCAAAAGAAAAAAAAAAAAAAAAAAAGGACACAAAAAAGTAAAAGCGTTTAAAACCTGGACAGTCGATACACAAGCTGAATATCAATCCCTAAACCCAAAACCATACCTGATGTATTACAAGAAGCACAAACAAGTAATACACTTCAGGATCTACAAAACTCAACAAAGATAATGTGCAAACAAACTGTACTAAGCTTATTGGTGCATCCAACCTTCCAAATTGGAGGGGCAACGTTGTCAATAACAAGCACATGACTGTCCCATTTATCCATGAGTGCAACCAAAAGTTTCCTTGTAAATCTGTAACAAAAAGAAAGACATAATTAGATGATCAAAATAGTAGATGGTTTACCGCAAAATGAGTTTGCTGTATACCAATTTTGGAGGAGCTGCAAGAACTTCTGCTTCTGAAAAGAGAAAATGTGCAGACTTTATTACTCTGGAAATAGGAGTTGCCTATAAAGTGGCAAACAGAGCAAAAATTAAAAGCACCATCAACTAAACCTTGATGAAGCAATGAATAACCGGACATGTAAATTACAAAAAAGGTCATCAGTGCATTGAAGTTGCACAATGATTTATTAGAGGGGTGTTGGAGCTCATGAGACCCAACAACTGTGCCCTGTTAAGTTATAGAATCAGTCATCATAAGTTCTTGGACAATGCATATAGCTCAGGAAAATAACCCTCCATGTGAAGGAAGATAGGAGAAAAACCGTGTGAGTCAAACAATTAACTTGGTTGCATATAAACAGCATTAGTCAAGAAAGCACGACGGTGATATTTAACACGTCCAAAAACTTAAAAATGGAAAGGCATGTTAAGTGTGAATTGTCACATCTATACCAATTGCAGATTCCTTTTCATCATTGCGCAGGAGCTCATCTGCTTCCTCGACGGTTTCAACAGTGACAGGGGGTCCTCCGAAGCTCATGGGATTATATCCAAGTAATGATGCCCTGTCAAATTCATACCCGGCTTCTGGGAATATAAAATGTGTGATGAGTAATTCAGAATCCAAGCATAATGAATGCTGCATAAACATACATTAAGACCATACAAGAGGATAGGTACCTCGACGGACGTTCATTCGCTTTTCAAATAAGCGTACTGGGTCAGAGCCCTCTAAACAAGAAGCATAAACAATCGACCTGCGTTCAAATCCTGCCAAAACAAACTTGGTTAAGGCTGGAAACAGGGCCGTCTTTGACATTTTGGGAGCCATGTGCTAATTTAATAAAAAGGCCCTCCTTATTTAAAAAAAAAAAAAAATTTGGACAATATATTCATACAAAGCTCAACAACCAATATTCAAAATTAATTGAAATTAGCATCTCACTCTTATTATTTTTAAACCAACAACAACCCAACTTTTATTATTTTTGTTTAAAAAAAAACATAAATGAAGTAATAAATTTTGACATATTAAGTGAAAAAAATTATAGATAATATGTCAAATTGCCAAGTCAGCCATCAAATTGAAATTTGATATTTTGAATTTGACGTCTCCATGGAGATGTTCTAATCTCCAACATAAAATCATGATTTAGGGTTCATCTATGACAAAATAGAGCATAACTGAAAAAGAGATATGAAAATACGTTTGTATCGGTGGGAGAAAGTAATACACAAGTTTTTATTGCTAGAGAAAAGTAGAAAATTAATATATTAAATATAAGCTTTACTTAATCAATTGTAATATAGATTAAATCATATGATGATGATTTTTCTTTTCAGTTTAAAACTTTTTTATTAGAAATTTATACATATGTAATATATAGGAGGGTAAATTTTTTTGGGGCCTCTAAAAAATTCGGGGCTCTGTGCCATTGCACCTTTTGCACACCCCCAACGCCCTCTCTGGCTGGAAATGAAGGGTCTGTTTGGTACTCTATTTGAATTCCACTTTTTAAATTCAAAAACAATTTTCAAGTTTTAAGCTTTAAAAACTTGTTTGGTAAGACTGTTTTCAAAAAAGTGAACCCAAGACTAACTGAAAAATATAGTCCATTCTCTAAAAACATAAAAAATGAGTTTTTAGAGTTTTTAAACTTAAACTCACTCATTTATTTTCTCTCCCTCATTCCCTCTCCAAATCTATCTCTCTCTTTTCTTCTTCTCTCCTTTTTTTTTTAATTTTTTTTTTTACCTTTTTCGTCTCTCCTCCAATACGCTTTCTTCATTCTCTTGGTTCTTTCTCTCACTCGCCATCCTCTCTATCTCGTCTGATTCTCTCTTCTTTCTCTTTCCTTCAATCATCTCTTATTTTCTTCCATCATCTCTCCTCTTTCTCTCTTTCATGCGACATTTTCTTTTTAGATCTCTTTATCTAATTTAAGTTGTAAGATTTAAAAATTTTAAATCGCAAACTAATAAAGCTTTTGAGTTTTAAAAAAAATTGTTTTCAAAAAATATTTTGAAAAATGATAAAAATTTTCAAATAAGATATCAAACAGGCCGAAACAATTCCCAAAATAACTACTTTTTGTTTTATTATCATTCATTTACCTTGACTATTTCTCCAAGAAACAAACATGGGTTTAGTTTAGTTTGAAGTAATTAAAGAAGATAAATAAGTAATTAAAAAGATAGGATAAGACGGAGAGACTTATAGAGCGAGCTCTTTGGCGGCTCTGGGGCTGCAAAATCTGCCACTTTTATCAATCTTGGGCAACATGTCTGCTGAGCCATTGCTGGGCTTTTCGAGAGCTTCGTCGAGAGGGAAGGACGAAGTGCAGAGAGCGGTTTGAGGGTAGGAGAAAGATAGGATGTTGTGGGCGAGTAAGGTTCTGGGGATTAAACCCAGAAGGTGGGACTTTCCGAAGAGCAAGGAAGAAGAGGAGAAGAAAGAGAAATGGGGTTTTAAACATGGGATTTGGATCCTGCCAGATCCCCACCCTGGGGATCTTAGGATCAACGCACATGGATGGTTGATAAAAAATGGTGCGTTCATAATTTTTTTCTTTTTTATATTTTTCACGTAAAACGAAGTTTTTCACTTTTAAAAATATAAAAAGCATTTAATTAGGGCTACACGATTTTTTATCAATGGTTTGTGTGCATTGATCCCTAGGATTCCCAGGGAGAGGATCCGGCAAGGATCCAAATCCTTAAATGTGGATAAGAAGAGGAGCAGTTGAGACCGAAAAGTGAGCTTCCCTCCATTGTTGGGCTTCTGGGAGATTTTAGGGAACGTGACTGCCTCTCCTTGTATGCCTATAATTACAGGAGTAATGCTATTTATATCATGTTTTTATACCACATTTCTATACTATCTTCAGTGATATCTAATGTGCACTGCCACATTATTTGAAAATTTTGCAAAATCCAAGCAAATTAACATCATTTGAAAAATTTACAAAACCCAAGCAAAGGAAGGAGAAAGACTCCTCGTATACCACAATCATCATTTAATTAGCTAGTTTTTCTTAATTATTAGTTTATTAAATAATGAACTAAATTTAAAAATCTAATTAATTCAAATGATATGGCTGTTCACATCAAATATCACCTAAGATGGTATGAAAATGTGACATAAAAACATGATATGAATAACATTACTCACAATAAAGTATCTCCCCTTGCCCTTTTTGGGGGTTTTAGGGAGAACTTCTTACCGTTTGACAAAACAAAAAGAGAGGACTTTATTGTATTTACCAACAAACCAAATAAAACTGAGTCAAGGACTAAAGAGACCGAAGTTATAGATAAAATTTGTAATTGTGTCAACACGTTTATCAATGCTTAAGTAATAATTCAAGTGTTTTTTTATTAACAACCACATGTTGTTGAATACACCCAACATAAAAATGTAATATTAAACAACTTCTAACTCTAATATAAAATGACTATTCGAGCCCTTATAGCTAATCTTACTCTCCATTGTAGAACAAAACCCTAAAAACATAAACACATCGATGAAAAAATATTTTTTGATAAACAGAACAAAAAATCTAGTTTTGCTCCTCGTTCATTCATTGGTTTTTACATTCAAGAAATTAATCAAATAATGGGATATAAAATTGACTTTTTTGCAAAGCCCTGCTCTAATTGGAATCCAAGAAATAGGAAGAAAACGGGAGAATGTTGTAAAATTTTAAGATGTAATTAAATGTAATATTCTTATGGCTGTTTGATGATGAAGAAATTCAAAGTTTCTTGGCTGGTTGGAACTGACAAGACCGTATAAGAACAATTCCTACCATTTGTCCATCAGGCTTATCAGAATCCAACGTGATTGTTCAAAAAAATTTGATGGATGTTTATAAATCAAACGGCAAGATGGATATTTTATACAACAATTTAATTCATTTTTCTTGTCTTTAAAATGTTGATTATTCTATTGTTTGAAAGAGATGAAGAGTTTGATGTATGGTTAATTAGTTGATGATTGTGGGGTTTATGAGATATGTGAGGTGTGAGGGTAGTATTGAGAAATATGTGGGGTGTGTTAAGAAAATTTTTAATTTAAAAAGTAAATGTGGGGTGTGTTAAATGTGTGGTGTTAATAAAACATCCCATAATTCAATCATCAACTTTATATTATTTAGTTTACACAATTTTTTTTTTTACAAATTTTATTTAATTATTATAGAAAACACTTAACTATGGGCTGGTTTGGATGTGCTTTTAAAATGACTGAAAGCACTTTTAGAGAAAATATTTTTGGATTCTAAAAGCACTTTAAATGCTTTTCCAAAATTCACTTGGATTTCTACTAAGAATTGATTTTAAAAATATTTTCATCAAAAATATTTTTAATTATTTTAGAAGCACCTACATTTCTATAATTCACTTGCATTTACCCCAAAAGTTAATTTCAAAAGTATTTTTGCCAAAAGTCCTTCGGGTTATTAAACAATTTCGTATTGGTAATCGGTAAAAGTCGCACAAGTTACAGTTGATGGTAAACTCCCGTTAGCTTGGTGGGTGGTTTGGTCGAATCGAATCTGAGAATCGAGAGTGAAAAGGCCAGTGTCTCTCTCGTTCTTCTCTTTCGTGGTGTTGTCCAGCTAATAGTCTAGACTCTGCTCCCAACTCTCTGCTAGATCAACATTCAACAACAACATACCCGCATATTGAAGAAGATGAAGGTGAAGGTAAAAGTGAAGCCGAGCTTCATTGCGGCGGCGCTGTGCGTTCTGTGTGTCCTCTCCCTCTCCCTTGAATCAATATCAATATCAATTGTTGGATCAGCATCTTCTTCCCCCACGACGAATCAATTTCTCGGAATCTCCCCCCAAGGTCATCCAACTCCTTCACAATCTCTTTCTCCGCAGATCTTATTATTATTATTATTATTATTTCATTTATATATATATATATATATACATATATATATATATATATATATATATATATAAACAACAAATTCTAAAAGTCTGAGTTTGGGCATTGGAATTCCCAGATGAGAAATACTACAAATCTTCGGAGGTGATAAAATGCAAAGATGGAACCAAGAAATTCAGCAGAGCTCAGCTCAATGACGACTTCTGCGATTGCCCTGACGGCACCGACGAGCCTGGTACTAGTCATTCCTTCCTCTTTCCCTTTCTCTTATTTTCCCTGAATAAAGAAATTGAAATGGGACTCTCTCTACTTTCTTTTAACTTGTTGCTAGAATTTGGCATTTCGATGCTGGTTGAACTTGTATTTGATCTATGTGATACGTTTTTGTTCACAAAAATGCATATATTTGGTGGGTGGGTTGCAGGTACATCTGCATGCCCAGCTGGAAAATTTTATTGTCGGAATGTGGGACACGCTCCTCTCCTCATATTTTCGTCTAGAGTGAATGATGGACTTTGCGGTAAGTATTTGTGCCAATACAAATAGCCTCACAAGTTATATGTTATGAGCACCATCACAGACATGCTGCATTTTTGTGTTTCATTTTTTTGCAAGAAGAGTCCCCAACGGGAAAGAGAGGATTGGAAAAATGCCTCATTATGTTGATATATTAAATCTTAAGAAAACCAGTTCTCCATTCCTTTGCATACAAATCATAAAATTGTTTTACCCGGCCGATTTATTTAATCTCTTATGCATTGTTACCTGTCTGCAGACTGCTGTGATGGGAGTGATGAGTATGATGGTCAAGTAAAGTGCCCAAATACATGTTGGGAGGCTGGGAAAGCAGCTAGAGATAAGCTCAAAAAGAAGAT